CAACCGCTGTCTCGATCAGCAAGACTTCGGGATACGGAAGGGCACATGGGAAGAGCCTAACATCATCGCCAGACCGCTCTGGCAAACAACCTTGGGCACTTTCGAACCAATCCAAATAACGAGAAAACTTTGTCGAATTCCGACTCACCAGCTTCGGATGCCTAAGGCAAAGAAAGGAGGGGAGCAGATCATGCAGCTTGACGGTCGATGTCACTTCCGAGCTCCGCCGCCGACCTCGTCGTCGTCGGCGTCGCCTTGGCCCTGGGCCTCCTTGACCCGCTTCTTCAACCGGGCCATCGCATCCACGTAGCCCGAGATTACAGCCATCTCTTCTTTGGTTCCGGAGAATTCTTTCCTCGACAGAGGATCCGGCAGTCCTGTTAATAACCATGCCGTCTCCCAATCGCCGTTCGCCAGAACTGCCTGCACTTTGCTCTTCAGGTTTTGAATCAATTGTGCCAAGGCCACTTCGTGCTTGCCCGCCCTCAACTGCTCGTAGGCTGCCACGTCCATAATTGCAGTGCGGTACAAGCCCTTGAATCGACCCCAGTTTTGCTTCTTTACCCAATCTCGCAGTGTCCAGGCCTGACCGGAAACTATCCCCAGTTCCTTGACCACCTCGGCCTCGAAGATCTCTCGAACACGGCGCGGCTTTCGGAGGATCTGCTCGTGCAACCTGTGCAGAGACGTCACAGCCTTCATGCCCTTGCCGTCGAAAGCCTCCTTCTCGCTTTCTGAGTCTTCTGAGCTGGAGCCACCAAGGAGCTCCGACGAGGAGGCTGCTCGCCTTTTCTTTTTCTTCTTCTGGTTTTGCAGCCCCATCACCTGATTCAGCAAAAGCAGTGTCAGGAGGTCTTTCGGCTCGGTGCCTGTCGTCGCTCCGGCCGCTAGCAAAGATTGAAGATCCAGGCCTTCCTTCTTCAAGGTCTTCTTTGACTTTGACTTCACCACTTGCTTTTGCCCGGGCGGCAGCATCCCAGGGTCGTCGTCGTCTTCGCTCTCCTCCTCGTCGTCTTCTTCCGAAGCGTCTCCTCGGAGAAATTTCTCCAAGCCCTTCAGATCTTCGGATACTCGGGCTGTCTTCTTTGCAGGCTGTGGTGTTGGATGAACTTCCAGTTCTGCATCGCTGCTTAGGAGCTGCGTTGTAGGCGCCTTCTTCCATGCAGCACGGCAAGCCCCCAAAGAAGGAATGTCGCCAGCACGTAACCCTTGCCAACCACTCGGCTTGGCACAGCTAACGGCCTCCAACGGAACTCGAAGAAAGGCTATTGTAGTTTCTCCCGCCTTCGCAGTCACTTTCTGTTTGACAGATGCAGCGCCAGCTTCAGAGGTACCACAAACTACGTCCGATTCTACGATTTCCACCACCCAAGCAGTCACACAAACTGGCTCGTCCTCGCCATGAACCCTGACGAAAACCAGGTCGCCCGTTTCTACTGACATCCTTCCCTACAAGCTTGAGAGGGGTTTACCCCAAGGTGCCGGCATGTACCCAAGCTCCGACTGCATGATCACCTGCCGGAATGCTTCGCAAAGAATAGCCCTGTCAACCCCGAACCCTGAACCAAAGATGGCCCCAAAATGGCAAGCCAGTGGGCCTCTAGGCAGGTGTCCGTGAAGGGCCCGAAAAGGTCGATGGGTACGCCATACCCTGGTCAACGCTCGGAGCTTTGGGTGCGCAAGGTCCTCAAACTTGAATTAAGCCCCTATTCCGTAAATCCTTAGGGATTCACGGCTTTTGACGGGGTAGATATGTGATACTACAAACTGGTGCTATCCAAAATCGTAATACAAAAGACTGTAGGATTCTACCTAATTTCAGTTTGGGCTTTTCCCTACCTAGAGCCCCAGACGCCACGGTGGGGTGTGATTTCAAACCTCGGCACTAAACCCTATAGACTCTGGGCTTAGGGTCTAGGTCTCGGGGTTTAGGGGCTTAATTAGGGTTCAGGGGGTCCATTGCAACCCTAAACCCTAAACCCTAAACCGCAAGCAAATCCAAAGCACAAGACACAAAGCTGCCTACGTGGCGTAAACCCAAGCCCGAGAGTTCGTCGACCATTTCGCTTGTGTCCCCTTGGTTGGATTTAGGGTTTAGGGTGAACTTACCTGGGGGAATTAGGGCATATATTATGTAGGGACTATCGTCACTGATTCACTACTAGCCCCAATAAGTTTACGGTTTGGGGTTTAGGGTAAAAATGTTCAGGGTTGGGGTCTGGGTGTAGGGCGTCTACGGTTAAGCTCACCCTTTCTGTAGGGGGACTGGGATTGGGTGTTCCAGACTGCTCCAGCATCTACTGGTTGGGCCCAGAGAGTTAGAGCCGAATGTTGAAGTTTCACAATTTGGGGAGCAAAGTCGGGGGCCCCGTCATCATTCCTTGTTTGGGGTGTCTCAATGCCAGGGGATTGCAGGAACTGAAGATATACACGGATTTCAAGCGGAATTAGAACTGCATGGGGAAGGTCTTTTGCTTGCTGAACCAACTCCTGCAGCTCTACACTTCACCAAGCCCACATTGGCATCAGCACGACTCCAAAGATGCTTCCGCAAAGCAGGAATCGATAGAGCAAATCGCGCTTCAACAACTCCGAAGCTATCTGTGCGCAGCATCTATCCAAGGCTATCCCACCGCACCCAAAAGCCTGAATGTGGTGTAGGGTTTACGCTTTCGGTTTTAGGGTCTAGAGCTTTAGAGTTAGGGCGCTACAGTAGTTGGACACAACAAATATACATGCAGCACAGACACTCACCAATAACCATCATTGGAAAAATCATAGCTTACATGAACCCTCCAAGTGTAGCTTTCAACTTCGACTGACATCTGTGGGCCAAGTGCCTCGTATCTGCACCAGATGATGCCGAGAAGTGCGTACAAACTATCAGAATTCAACTGGGTTGCCAATAACCCCCAAGCACTCTCACAAGGGGATGTTGCCAACCCCAACCCCCATATCATATTCACATGACAGTTATAAGGTCCCATTTTCTACGGATTGGGGCTGCCAAATCTGACTACTAGATCCTAAACCCTCCAGCCCTCAACCACATCACAAATCCATGCACCTGAAACGTCAAGCCCTAGCCACCCTAAACCCTAAACCCTGAACAACCCTGAACCCTGAACCCACAACCCTAAACCCCAAACCCTAAGCCCACAACCCTGAACCCTAAACCCTAACCGCTTTAAACCCACAACCCAAGCTCCCTGCGACCTAATGTCGCTGCATCATGTCATGCGTGCAAGCCATCACTCGGTCCGCGATGTAGCGGAGCCGAGTCTGGGACCTGAGTTTTAAAAAGGAGTTGGGGATCTAGGGTTGAAGGATGACAGACTTAGGGTTTAGGGTTTAGAAATTTGAGGTTTAGGTTTTATGGTTTACGGTTTAGGGTTTGGGTTCAGGGTTTAGGGTTTGGGTTCAGGGTTTAGGGTTTAGGGTTTAGGGCATGGGTTGGGGACTTGAGTTGCGACTGTCTGAATGCATGGAACAGGATTGTGCGCGGGCTTAGGGTTCAGGCTCAGAGCTTTGGGATTAGGGTCTAAGGTTGAAGATCTGAAGTCATCAGCAACGGATCTAGTTTAAGGGGTAGACTCCTACGTAGTGTATACGTAGAATGTCCTTATTCGCTATTCATGCTGTGATGTCAACTCTTGATGGGCTGGTCGGGGTTTGGGGATTGGGCTTCACGGCAGAGGGCTGCACCTTGGTTTCGCAGATCCGTACCGACACATCTGGGCTTCAGGCTCAGTCGCCGGAGTTCTGGACTTTTCGTCAGCTCCGCAAACGCTCCGAACAAGATCCAGGGGTATTAGAACTGTTTGGCAACATCCGGAGCTGTGCTCAAGCTTTTTGAGACTAGTCTCAAGCTGTGTAAACTACTTCTGAGACTGTGCGAAAGACGCCATTTTTCTAGAATCGAGGATGCACACAGGCGCTTGTGGACGTCCTCCGTGGTGTTGCAGGCTGAGTTTCAACTTGTGGGCTTCCAAAACAAGGGGTTCAACTTGGGAGGGTTGTCGGATAATGAGGAGTGAAATATTTGTAGCGAAGGTGGGGCCCAATCTCTGGGAAACTCCAATCTGAAGCCGGGACAACTTCATTTCGGCAGTCATTTCTCATGGCAAAACCCACACAGATTCTGATTTTTATGCAAACCCTCAACCCTAAACCCAAGACCCTATCCTGCAGAGAGCATATTCAATCCTGTGAGAAAAGATCTGTGTTAAGAACACCCTTCAAAACCTCAACACACAAGGAAACCCTTAACGGCGATCCCTAGTCCACCCAGAAGCTTTTCTTGGATGAACGCAACTGCGACTCTTGGATTGGAGGTACCTAACGAATATAATGCTGATTTCAATATGCTTGCTGCAACCAGACATTTTTGAATGGAATAGAACTAATGTGCATTGAACGTGTGCTGACTTCCTGAGGCTGGGCATTACTGTATGCACCTTACATGCGTGGCCTGCAGAAACTTCTATGCTGAGGCTGGGGCCTAAACTCTGAACTCACACCCTATACCCATGAAAACCTAAAAGCCTGAACTGAAAAAGGCTCAACCTTTGAATGTCTTGAGAACTACCATGGTCTGAGCCTGCAGCTGTTTGAAAAGGTCTTGGCTTGCAGAGCACTTGGCAAAAAACTTCGTGTAGACCGTGGTGCGGAAGGTTTCCTTCTGCCTTGGGGGGCTCAGGGTTTGGGTTTCAGAGTTCAGGAATTTGGGCTTGGGGGCAGGGGTGGAGGGTTCAGGAACTAAAATGCAAGGTATAGGGTTCAGGGTTTCAGGGTTCAGGGCTTAGCGGTCAAAACTCAATGTTTAGGATTTGAGGCGCAATGTCTTGGGTGTTGGACATAGGGTACTTGCGTGCGGGGTACTTTCTGGTTCAGGTCCTGGGTTTCTGCGGCTTTCGTTTAAAGTCTCTGGCAGAGGAGTTCCAGGGTCCAGATTAGCTGGGTTTAGGGTTAGGGTTCACGGTCTGTTTAAGGTTGGGAGGAGCGCCCTCTCCATCGATCCTATGTAACTCTTCACCTTGAACTTGCTGATTGTTTTAGGGAGTGAAGGAATGAAGCAATGGAAGCTGGTTGCTGTATAAGTGGGGGGGGGTGTATAGGGGCTGCTACAAGGCTCCACCTCCGTTCCCCGCAAACAGCAAAACGGAAAATCAACCCAAAACCCTGAAACCCGACGTCTCCCTATAATCCGTCAAGTTCCATTTCATTGTCCCGCTGCTTTGATCTTTGATTTGCCATTTCCTGGCCTAAGCCAGTCGACCCGCTTGGCCCTAAACCCTAAACACTACTCCCCAAACCCCAAATCGAAAAACTTAAACCTGAATCCTAAAACCTAAACCCTGAACCTTAAAGCCTAAACCTTAAACCCTAAACCTTAAGACCTGAACCCTAAACTCTAATCTAAACCCTAAATCTTAAACCTCTGCATCTGATGTGCTCATCGGTCATGTTCTGAAAGAGCTTTGCGTTGTAGGGCTTGAAGGCCCGGACCTGCCAAAGTCTAGCGTTTAGGGTTTACAGCTTTAGGTTGGGAGGTTTAGGGTTTAGGGCTTAGGGTTTAGGGTTTAAGGTTTAGAGCCTAAGTAGAAGGATTTGAGGGTTCAGGCGTTCAGGCACGTGCGTCAGGCACATGCGCAAATCAAGGATTCCAACAGAGGTAAAAGAAAGACCAGGTAGCTATGAGAACGCCCTTACAATTTCGCACATGCCCTGCAAGAATTTATTCTGCTCCTCCAGGTTTGGTGATGGCTGCGTGACTGTGCAGCACTGGAACTTTTCTGATCGAGAAGTTTCCGACAGCCAGGAACAATGCGCATTGCGCAAGAACTGAGCATGTGGGACGTGTACTTGGGCTATTTTGGAAGGAGCCAAAGTTTCAAAGCTATCTCACCCTACAGCCCTTTCTCCTACTGCATAAGGATCCTCCTTGCTTCAGCCAGTTCAAAAGATGGATAACT